TCGCACTCCCCCGCCCTTTTGGGTTTAGTCTTTGCTGCCCTTTTCCCTTTCACCCTCCATGCCCCCTGTTATCTAACCTTTGCTCATCCAACTCCTTTTGCCACCTGATGCCCTCACTTCCCTTTGCCCTGCGCGCTGTATAGTCCTTGTGGCTTAGCGCTTCTTTTTGATTATAATAATAAAAATACAAAAAATGTTAATGGCAAGGAGATTGCTGGTGAGAGCTTTGAAAATATACAGGAAGATGTGAATGAATGTTAGAAAATGACAAAGAAATAAGTCCTAGGCAGTGTTGGGAGCGCTCAGTGCCCGATACAAGGGAAGCAGATAAAAATAAAAATAAGGAAACCTGAAAAAAAAACAATTGCAACAGTTCATGAGCAGTTTAAGTTGCTTCTAACAGACTTCTTTTCACTGCATATCTGAAAGCACTGCTCTGAATAGGGGCTAGAGCGAGCTGATGACTTACGTCAGCTGTTAAAATACTAGGGTAAAAAGAACCAAAGATCATTTACGAATTTCCAGTGCTCCATGCAATGCAAAATCAGTGCAAAAGCCCCAACCCCTTTAGGGTCCATGCCGTAGTTCTACGGCTTTTATCCAGTGTCATTGCTGTAGTTTTCGCCGAAATCGCTCATCAGATAAGCTGTAATGGGAAATTTGGGTCTGATATGGAGAGGGGAAAGGGTCTGTGCAGCAAGTGTGCACCATATAAAAAAAACCCGCAGCAGCAGTGCATGAGAAAAAACTGCCACCATATTTTTGGCTTAAAACTGTGAGTTTGCAGTGTATTTTTTTGTGGTTTTTTTTTTGGTTTGTATTCATGGTTTCTTTGGGTTATTTGATAGAATGGAAGTATATTTAAAAAATAAGATTATTCGATTTGGGTTTTTGGGGTGAAAATAAGTTGAAATTGAGCACAAATTAGCAGAAATGTTCGTTTTTGAGGGGTTTAGAATAAACAAATACATCACGCATCCAAAAAACATAAACGGGGGGTTGTATGCATTCGGAATGTGTGATTTATTTGCACAAATATTACGTTTGCATAAAAGTAAATTTTCTTTTTTTTGATGTGAATAAAAATTGTGTGAAAAAAAAATTCAAAAAGGAATTCATGTTTAAAAATGGAAACATAACTAAAAAACAAAGGAAAAATTATTTTAGTCCAGGAATGCTTGTTTTTTATTCTAGCCCCAAATTTTTAAATTTGGGAAAATTTTGAAATTTTTGAAATGGCCAGGTTACCCAATTTCTTATTTATTAGGGAGTTGAAATAGTTGATTGAGCGGTTTTTTGTGTCAATCGATAAAATGGAAAGGTTTTTAGTAAAAGCTAATAATTTTGGGCAACTGGGACAATGTAATTTCCCAAATTTTTACAAAGTAGGCAAAAATCACTGATGCATAAATTTAGGGCCGAAAATTGCAATAGAGTAATTTCGCAGTTTCCATCAAATTTCTAATTTTGGTTTTTTTTCCTTCAGAAAAAAAATTCTTTTTCCCTTTCAAAAAAAAAATAGCAAAAAAAAATTTTTTTTTTTAAATTTTGGGACCCTTTGGACAAGTTTCAATGGGGTTACCCCCTCCACTTCAACAAATGATCCACAACCCTTTCCCTCTCAACCCCGTTAGCCACATATCCTTCTCCACTCTTATTAGAATCAACAACATACACCCCGCAACCAGAATTTAAGGTAAGATTAAAATTTATGTAAATTTCTGTAGTATATTTTTCAATATAACCTCACGCATTCACATACAATTCCCCCTTTCATATTGATTTTTACAATCTCAAAACATATTTTTTTTTTTTTTTTTTTTTTTTTTTTTTTTTTTTTTTTAGGGGAATCTAATGAAAGTAACCCTATTTTCCCCATGCGTTCTTTAGTTCAGTTTACATGCACTTTTGATTACAAGCCACTTTCAGGAACATAACCATGATTTCCAACTGTCATCTGTATATGTCATTGCTGTACTCATTTGTAGCTACAGGAGCAGAGCTAAGCATTTACTCATCTAACTGTGGTTGCAGGGGTCAAGTCTCAGCTCCTGGCCCTACTTCTACTGGTTTCACTCCTGGCTGTGAGCCCTGCCATACCTATTCTTAAAGCTATGTATGTATTGATTCTGCTTCTACCACGTCGCTATCTAGGTCATCCCACTTCCCAACCATTCTAAGCTTAAGAAGTATTTCCTAACATCCCTGTGACTCATCTGTGCTTTTAACTTCCAGCTGTGACCTCAAGTACCCGAGACCTGCCTTTCAAACACACTCCCTGTCCACCATCAATTCCTCTCGGTATTTTGTACATCATAATTGTGTCAACTCTGATCCTTCTGTCTTGTGTCATCAGGTTTAGCACTTCTAGCCTCTCTTTTTCCATCTTTGGTACTTAATCTATATGATAAAAAAAAATGAATAATTTCCACTGATTATAGCTCTTACTACTACTTCCTTTTTTAACTTATCCATTGTTCTACCACTCTGCAGAGAACTTTTGTTTACTCTTTCTGCACTTCTTGTTCCTTAGTTTATACCAATGGTCTATTGGTTTCTCTGTTGAAGATGGTATGAAGTTTTCCTTATTTATACATTTGTATCTTTTAATAATCCTTTATGTGGTTCCTTGTTAAATCTTTTTCCAGCTATCAGTCAATGAGGGCATGTGATGCTTTTAACCTTAAGTAAGTTTATTCAGGTATACACAAATACAGTTACATAGATTATCATACATAGCAGCATATGTGTAGAGAACCTAGGATAACCCAAAAAAGTCAAAGTGACTTATTTCCATTGGGGTTCTTTTTCATATTCATATTTCTTTTGGTTCTGGGAGCCATTTTGTAGCTCATCTTCATACATTTTCTAGCATTTCCAAATGCTTTTCAAAGTGTACACCTAATATATATATAGTAAACATCATTTTACCTTTCTTCTGTCTGTGTACTCTAAGGCTGTTTGAAAAAGTTGGCCAGTGTAGTATAAGAGCTTTTCTCAGTTTCATTATAAGACCTTAGAATGAAAGTTGTTTGTCAGTCATGACTAATAAATCTCCCTCTTTCTCAGATACTTTTAATGTTTTATCAGTCTCTATTCTTTGTGTGGCCTATTTTTTGCTTTTCCCAGTTTTATTACATGATGCTTATCTACATTACATGCTGTCATCCATCTATTACTCCATTTACTCCCCTCAAGGGAGGTTCCTTGATGCTGGTGAGAGGCTCTTGATCTAGGGAATTGGATCTGTACTCCAGTTCCCTGAATTGAGCCTCAATACCTTCCACCCCCCCCCCCACATACGCTGTATAATCTTACAGGTTTAGTGCTCCCCCATGATTATAATGATTATAATAATAATAATAATAATAATACTCTATTTACTAAATCTATCACTCCATTTACTCTGCTAGTCCAGGTTTTCCTGCCAGAATACAATTTTTTTTTTTTACACCTATCTTGCATAGGCTCTTTGAATCAGCAGCAAACATGCTTCTTTAATGTACGTGTATTATTTTTTTCTGCCAAGTCATTTATTTAATTTAGAAACATTATCAGGGCAATCACTGATCCCTGTGACATAATCCCGTGAAGACATTTTCCCTTGTACCACTGTTAGCAGTTTTTTCAATCAGGTAATCTTGAATATACTGTAATATTAGTAGTTTGCCTTTTATTCCTCCTGTGTTTTACTCTTCAGATCAGTTTCTCAAGAGGACCTCTTATAAAAGCTTTCTCGATATTTAAGTAAAGTAATCCACCCATCCATGTCATTCTTGGATAATTTATGCAACTTTAAAAGTAGTCTTTTAAAGTTGATAAACAAGAATTTGCTGATCCAAGACCAGTCGGTCTTCTAGCTAGTAGATCTTTGCTCTCCAAGTATTTTATCTACTTTTCTCTGACCTTTTCCAGTAATTTCACAATGCTTCTCGACAAGACTGGCCTGTAGTTCAGGGGATCCTCCCTGTCTCCATTTTTTCATATATTGGCAGTGTATCATATTCTATTTGTCCACCTGTTTAACCTCTTGTAGTGAAATCAAAGATTTTTCCAAATAGGATAATTAGTTTGTTTGCATATTCTTGTAGGACCTGTGGTGTGCATGACTGCATGCTCATTTCATGTACATGAGGCATTTAGATGACTTTTTTTTTCCTAACATCAGTATAAGTTAAAACTTAAGGACAAAGATGTTCTTGACAACATGAATACTGCTTTGCAGATGGAAGGTTAGTGTCTTTTACTATTAGTTGTAGATATTAAGTAAAATTGCATTTTGTATCATTACAGATTAGTGTGATGGCCATCACAAGTTGTATAGTGTACTTCAATAACTGTATTTAGATGGGGTTCAGGAAGATATATTTTTATGCATTCTTGAAAATCTAAATGAGATGAGCTGCTAATTATTAAAATATATAGCTGCAACTAAACAATCAGTTTGCAAAAGAGGGTATAGTAAAACTGGATGGGAAAGCTTCTCCAGGCTAGAAAAAATAGGTAACACAAGTCTGTAGGTGTGTGAATGGCTTCATTACACCACTAGTCTCATTTATTATTAGTAAGAATTAAGTATATACCACATCCTGCATATGCTTGCCTCATGACCAGTGGGATGGCAGTTTGATCCTGCATGATTCCTTCTCCTCAACTATCCATATAAAAATTTTTATATACAGTATAAGTCTTCCCACTACACAGTTTGATAGCTGTGTAAAAATTATAATTTTAAATTGTCGTATAATGAAGTTTATGCTACTCTATTCCTACAAAGACAAATAACCATCATCTAGGTTATTTTCACTCGTTTAAAGTGTTACGTGTTTCATACCTCTAGTTACATGTCATTTTAAACCTAAGTGATTTAAACACCTACATACTTTTAAGATTTTTGATTCTGTGACTAAGAATCATTTTAATAAGCTTTCACAATTTTGAATGTGTACACTACTGGGTTGTGGTCTAACTGATGTGTGTGGGTTTCTGGTGTATGCAAGCAGGCTCGTCCCCCCTGCCTTCCCCAATGAACTCAGGCCAGCCCAACTGGGATCCTCTCTTCCCCCCAGGAGGCCCCCCGCGCTCTGCTAATGGTAAACATTGCTCACCGTGCACCCTACTGCCATAGGCTCTTATGTTTGTCTATCACATACACTTAAATACATACACATGCATACTCGTACTTGTTTATATATATATATATATATATATATATATATATATATATATATATATATATATATATATATATATATATATATATATATATATACATAATATATATACAGTACTACAGTACATACATTTGCATAAAACATTCCTAGACTAAATGTACATGCACAGCTTGAGTTCTTTAACTGCTTTCAACACCAAAATTACCAGCACTAATGCCTCACTTCCTTTAACCAAGGAGCTAACTTAATTTCATCCACTATCATTCACTCTTTTAAAATACTATACTAGTTCTGAAAGTGTGTAAAATTATGTAGAGAAATGCACAATTTGGTTATGCTGTTTGTTGTGTGGTGCACTGCATGTTATTCGTCATCCACTGCACTCTGAGGAGAGTTCTCATGTGAACAATGAAGTTGGCTTGTACCACAAAGTCTAAATTAGCTAAAGTATCCTGAAGTAGCTGTGTAAATGATAGAATGTCCAGAAATTATGAACTCTTGTTTTAGAATAGGAAGTGATGGCAACATGTTAAGAATGCCTGAATATGCCTTGAAACCACCTTCCTGCCAGTTAATCTTAATAATAGAGAGACTTGCAGCATACTGCATGGGGACTTGCTCTTGCACATGTAAAAAAGATTAGTGTAAGTATATGGTAGTGTAGATGTTGTGGTATAGTCTATGTAGCTGTTGACTTGGCTGATTATATCTTAGCCTTTCCTGATATAAAGATCAGGGTTTGATTATGAGTGCACCTTTGCCAAGTAGTTTGCAATACTGGTAGCTTTCACTTACGTCCTAAGTGTAGCATACTAAGTTGCTGGTGAACTTAAGGTGGGTTCTGACTGACTTTTTTTTTTTTTTTTTTTTTTTGTATAATTTTATGAAATGTTCATTAGGTATCACTAGTGTTTCTGCACTTTGAACATGTGCTTGTGTGTTCACATTTACTTGGTGTAAATTTCACATGTAATTTACTATAAGGGAAATGAGAGACTGGTTCACCATCCTCTTACAGAAAAGAGAATGAAGGTTCTAAATAATTAAAATATTGAGATACTTGAGGTGGTGACTGACAAAGATGGCTATTGCAGCCATAATTTTAACTATCTTTTATGTATGAAATACAGTACATAGCTTTTCTCCTTTCAGTGGCAGCTAATCTTAAATTTTACTAAGTGCTGGCGGTGTATACTATATTTATGAAATACATAAATATAAGATTTTTCAAATAGCTCAAGTAGGATGCTTCTGCTGGCTCCAGTTTTATAGTACAGTTTTAAATATTAAGATTTTATATGCATATACTGTAATTTTAATTAAATATAAATGAATACACACATTACAGTAGAGTAGACTTTGAGAAAAACCTCTGATGAACTTGGCATTTTTAAACTCGGATGTTTTATATAAATATCCTAAGTCTATTTCTTTCTGTGGATTATAGTATTATAGTTTGTGTATTGTACCAAAGTGTTAGCCTTGTATCTCAGGTGTGGTTTCTGCACCAAATGGGACAATACTTGAAAAATAGGATGTTTGTCCTTAAAGTAAGCTTTTGCTGACTTATGATCTGGATACAACATTTTAGGGGTTTGATGATTAAAAACATTAGTCAAGTGTTTAGAGTATTTTGAACTTTATTCTTTGTTACTTAATAAAAACTTATTAAAAGGTACTGTAAATATGTTAAAATTCAAAGCAACAATATAAAAAATTATTTGTAAATTATGTATGTATATTAACTGCTATAATAATTGAAAAATATTCATGAATTTTAATGAGACTGATTGCTAGTGCCTTTATAAGATAACATATTGTTGCCAAAATGCTGCCATTTTAGATCAAAATTACAAATTGAAAATAAATTCACAGGAAGCTAACATAGCATAGATGTTGGTTCAAACAGTCATGACAACTGTAATGTGTTAACTGCGTTTAGCAGTGCATTATACATTAACTATTATTATAGGTAATAATAGGAAAGCTGTGGAATATATTTATCTAGAAAAGAATCTTATAAATTTAGTTACCCTTGTGGGTTTAGTGCTTAGTTCTGATTGTAATAATATAACTTTAGTTGCTACATGTAGGACAATTTTAAGTATTGAATTAATGTTAGGACACTTAGGATTTATCCAGTTCTTCCCATTTGGTGTCTTGTGAAACATTTTTTATGAAATATACTGTACTGTACTATGCTGTACAATTAACAGTGTAATATACAATATTTGGTAGAGATTATTCTTATTTAGGGGCAGATGAAGGAAAAAGTTGATAATGATTCTTACTGTCTTGACATAATGCCAAGCATAACCCTTCCTTGCCAAAGCTCACCATGAAGCTCAATATAAATATTCTTGCCTTATGTCTAGCACTGCTTTATAACTAACAAAGTAGTTTACTAATGCTGTTAACAAAGTACGTACGTATATAATTGTAAATTTTACAAAGGTAAATTTGACATTACCATTTTACTGTGTTCTTGAACCCGGTTTAATTTTTCACGTTTATTTTGTTTTACTAATCCAGGCTTTGTTTTTCATGTCTTTTAATTATATTTGTAATATTTTCAACAATTTATTTATATCTGTTTTGAAATTCTGAAAGCAAATTATAGTAGTCAGGGTGCCCATGTCCCAGTGCTATATTGTTTTTGTTTGACTACTTGGGTGAATTGCTCAGTCAAGATAATCAACAGCATTATTACTGAACTGTTTTGATTCTTTATATAAATAGTTAAGGTTGTGATTTACAAATTAATTTCTGATCCTGTATTTTACTATAAGTTAGCCATTGGCTAATAGTCACATAAGCTGCGTGCTTTTTTTTTTTTTTTTTTAAGGGGGTAATTTTTGAATTATGATTTTTTGTGTTTTAAATATTTCACCTATTAATTGTATTATACAGTTAAATTATTTGATACCTGAATAAAATACATGAGCATATATTTCAAATACTGTATTTTAATAAGTTACTTCCTGCTGTGCAGCATCACCATTGCCATCACCTATGAAGAGTCCTGCACGTTCCCCCATGCTGCAGACACCCTGTGCACAGGCTCTATATGACTTTGAACCAGAGAATCCTGGTGAACTGGGCTTTAACGTAAGTATAAATGAATACAATAAAAGTTTTTAATATAATAATCATTTATGTAAATTTAAGCCCTCCTAATCTTTATCTTTTCCTTATTTATTATTTTATTATCACACTGGCCGATTCCCACCAAGGCAGGGTGGCCCGAAAAAGAAAAACTTTCACCATCATTCACTCCATCACTGTCTTGCCAGAAGGGTGCTTTACACTACAGTTTTTAAACTGCAACATTAACACCCCTCCTTCAGAGTGCAGGCACTGTACTTCCCATCTCCAGGACTCAAGTCCGGCCTGCCGGTTTCCCTGAACCCCTTCATAATTGTTACTTTGCTCACACTCCAACAGCACGTCAAGTATTAAAAACCATTTGTCTCCATTCACTCCTATCAAACACGCTCACACATGCCTGCTGGAAGTCCAAGCCCCTCGCACACAAAACCTCCTTTACCCCCTCCCTCCAACCTTATCTAGGCTGACCCCTACCCCGCCTTCCTTCCACTACAGACTGATACACTCTTGAAGTCACTCTGTTCGCTCCATTCTCTCTACATGTCCGAACCACCTCAACAACCCTTCCTCAGCCCTCTGGACAACAGTTTTGGTAATCCCGCACCTCCTCCTAACTTCCAAACTACGAATTCTCTGCATTATATTCACACCACACATTGCCCTCAGACATGACATCTCCACTGCCTCCAGCCTTCTCCTCGCTGCAACATTCATCACCCATGCTTCACACCCATATAAGAGCTTTGGTAAAACTATACTCTCATACACTCCCGTCTTTGCCTCCAAGGACAAAGTTCTTTGTCTCCACAAGTAAAATAAATCTCTGCCCTGAGGGACAAAATTTATCAAAAAAACCCTAAAGGGTTTTATTTGATAAATAAAAGCTTTTTCTTTTAGTCTCCCTTTCCCTTTTTGGGTTGTCAGATTTGGTTTTTTAAATTTTATTTTTACGGGCCCCACACCCCTTAATCCAAAAATTCAAAAAATTGGGAAAATTTTTCCCCCAAAAAAAACCGAAGGTTTTTTTGTGGGAGTGGGAGCATCAGTCTCTGGGTTTTGCGGGCCACACTGCCTTTTGGGGGGGAAAAGAAATTGAGAATTATTCTAAATTTTTGAAACAATACTGGCCCCAAGGGTTTTCCCAAAATAAAGGGATTTTGGCCCTGTATTATCCCCTTATCATTGTTTCATCTTTTTGTTTTTCAGATGTACCATCACTAAAGAAAATTTCCTATTGAACTGAAAATTTCTTTTAAGACATTCGGGTTCACACACCTTTTACTATACTGACAAGTAAATTTTATTACTTATCTGTCATGGGACTGTTGAAGTACCATAGATACGGGTTTTTTTGTTTGGGATATACCCTATACTTAACTTTGGGTTTAAAAAAAATTTAAAGGGTTTTTTCACCTTAAGAGTTAGTAATCATTAGGGGGAAAACCAAAAAATTGTGTGGCCCCAAAATTCCCCCAAAGGCTCCATGTGAAAAGTAAAACAGTGCTAAAAAATTTATGTTTTTAAAAAAATTTAAAAAAAGGGGGGAAAAAACAAAAAAAAAATTTTTTTGGGGAAAGGGGAAAGAAAAATTTGGGGGAAAAAACAAAAAAAAAAACCGGGGGCCCCAAAAAGTTTTAGGGCCCCCCCCCCCGTGCAAAACACAATTTTTCCTATTTTTTCACAAAACCCATGGTAAAAACCAAAAACGGGCCCACAGTAAAACTAAGTACCCGGGGAAAAAAAAAAAAAAAAAAAAAAAAAAAAAAGGTAAAAAAATGCTGTATTAAAAAAGAGTACATTATTTAAAGGAAATTTTCAAAAACCCCAGAAATTTCCCAGACAACCTGAAGAATAAATCCTTTTTCCGTGTTTTTTTGCTAACGTTCGGGGTTTAAAAAAAAAAATAATATTTAACTACTGTAAATAAGGGGGAAAAAGTAGAATGACTAGGGGGGCCCCAAAAATGGGGTGTGGAGGGATAGGGGGGGGGTTTCTTCATGGGTTTATTTTTTGGGAGGGGTAAAGGGGTTTTGGGCCAGTAGTTTGGGGATATCCAACAGGCTTGTGTGAGCTTAAAATTAGACGGGGGTGGGGGGCAATATTTTTAAGATTTAACAATGCTGATTGTGACCCGGGGTAAAAATTTTGAGGAGATTCAGGGAAAAAACCCTTTAGCTGAACTTGAGTTTTTAAGGTGAGAAGTTTTTTTTTAGGGGCCTTCAAATCTGAAAGGGGGGGTTTGGGGTTTTTGCAGTTTTTTATGGCCAACCCGAACTGTGATATCCCGCTCCCTTCTGGCAAAAAAAATGATTTTTTAAAGAGTGAAAAAGAAAATGTTTTTCCCCCTTTTTTGTTAGGTCACCCTTTTTAAATTTTTGGAAAGGGGAAACCGGGGTGGGGTATTAAAGAAATAATTTGGTGCCCTAATACCAATTTTAGATGCAGAAGTTTTGCACCTATACAATATCACCTTAAAATTTAAAAACCCAAAAAAATTACCCATAAACCCTGGTCCAATTCCCCCCCACACCCAAATACAGTGGACCCCCGCATAAAAAATTACCTCCCGAATGCGACCAAATTTTGGTTTAAATGTAATTTTTGTAAAGGGGGCGTTTTTTTCCGGGGTATGGTTTTTTTGGGGGTCTAAAAAGGGCTAATTACTTTTACAAAATTCCTTATGGGAATAAATTCGGTTTAGTACTGGCCCCCTTTAACATACCCGGAAATTTAAAAAAAAAAACGTTAACCGGGGGTTTCCCCTTTTTATTAATGTAAAAATTTTTTTTTTAGGGAAAATTTTTTAGGAAAAACACTACTAAAAACCCTGCTTTTATCGTTGGTGATCAAAAGTTAAAAATTAGTTTTTAGGGGAATATACTCCCTTTAAATTTTTTTTTTTTTTAAACCCTTTCAAAGGAGGGAGACAACATTACCCTTACCCAGCGGATTGATGAGAATTGGTTTGAGGGAACAATTAATGGAAAGACTGGGCTCTTTCCTGTGAGCTATGTCAATGTGACAGTGCCTCTTCCTTAAATTCTCCCAACATCCATACCTGCTGCCACCTTTGCCAAGACCCAGGGGCTATTCATCATCTATCAGAAAACAAAGTGCTATTGAAGTTGATTTGTTATTGTTACACCATGAAAGTGTAGATAATCTGTATGAGAACAATTTATGTAGAAGAAATAAAGAAGAGTTTATTGTATAAAGTCTCACCATTTTATATTCAGAATTATATTATAATATAAGTATTCCAGTTTAAAAATACTAGGAACAGTATACTTATTATTAAAGCATAAAAAGCAAAAAGTTCTGAGGTGTATAAATTCTTTGAAGGTCATTTAAATGAGTGACAAAGTTGTGCCATTGCTTGAAATTTAAGTTTGTAAAATGCATTTTAAGGGTAAAATTACATTTTCATTTTGTACCATTATAATCAGATTACTGTTTACATCAGCATGTTGATTAAATTTGTGATTAAGGCAATTGTTGTATTATATCTGTTATATATTAAGTGGAAAGGATTCAAAATTTTACAGTAATTGAATTTATATTTTTTCAAGTGTAATAGTACAGTATCTATAGTATTTTATTTACAATGTTAAAAGTGCTCCTTGCATATATATATTTTTTAAATTCTATCTTTCACTATCAAAATGAATAAGGGTACATTTGCAGCTCACAATTTCACATTTATGAATTCTGTTTTGCATTCTGAGCACTTTCCTAATTTTTGCATATTGCAGACTTACTTTTAAGACATCTCTTGCAATCAGTCACTGGTGCTGATAACCTACCAAACAAAATTAATGCTTTTCCCACTCGATTAAAAATTTTCTTTAAAAAAATTAAAGTACCTAATGACACACAGGAAAATTTGTTTGGAAGCCTAAGAATTTAAAAAAAATCATAAGGAAAAATGCAATATTTTTGTAAAAAGAGAAAAATTGAGGTTTTTTTTTTATATTTTAGCAGCCATTAGAACATGTTATACTGTACAATACATTTCAGCCAGCACAGTAAATAATTTAACCATTTAAATGTGATTATATCAGTGTGTTGATGCATTTTACTGATTACATATCACTTTAATTCTTTGTAAATTACAATTGACTGTCAAGTTTATTAGGGAACTTGTTTGGCCAGAGTTGCTATGTAGTAGGGCTCTCTATGCAGTCTCTTGCACACTTATTCTAAATAAGCTCCCATGGGTCTGGGTAGAAGGCGATAGTGTGTGAGAGAGAGAGAGAGAGAGAGACAGACAGACAGACCTAACTTCGCATTGATTATTGCCCCGCTGATCATGGGTGATCCTGGTCCAGCTTCACTGTTGACTACCACATGAAAGAACTAGATTTTAAAAAGTCTTTTCAAGGAAAAATGTAGCTTTAGTTTATCTTTCAATAGTCACCTATTATATATATACATATATATGTGTGCATAAGATTTAATTTATTAAGGGATGATAAGAGACTGATTAATCTATATTCTGTACACCATCCTTGTTATTGTCAGGTAACTCCATTGTATATTGTCCTAGAAACTTTTATCAAAATGATAACATTTAAATTTTAATCTGAATCTTATTTCATAAACATTGATACCTTCATGAATGAAATGAGCAGTGGAAGGCAACTCTTTCCATACACTAAATGGAAAACTGCAATGTTAATAATATACTGTAGAGTGAAATAGAGTGAAATTTAGCTACTGCACATTGCTAGTACATAACTCTTATATTCTTTGAAGTCCTCAGCATGAATATTATTTTAATGCTGTGAAGCATTATATATATATATAGCTAAATAATTCTATAATTTTTTTGAAATTTAAAAGCAATGATACTGCATATTTATGCTATATTTTACCATCTGTTCTATAACAAGTTAAAGAGTAGTCAGTGGTTGATTTTGAGGAAGAGCATGAATATAATCACTACTGCAGATAATAATAAAGCACACTTTTCTCTTGAAGCACCCAGATGAAGTGGACTTATCAGTGACAGGGCATCAGTGTTATTCTCAAATCCTAGTGTCTTTGAAAAGTCAGCCAATTGTTGTATATGTAATATTGTGATGTTTTATGTGTCTCAGATGTTAAGTGATGAACCTGGAAGTTCTGTTAAAGGTGGGAATGTATGCCTTTATAGAAGTTATAATATTGTGCTGAGTGGAATTATGAGGAAGGTCATTGTGTTTGTAACTTAGAAATCTTACTCGGCCATCATTTTCTGTCATGCCTCTGTGCCACTAGTGTTGTAATATATTACTTGGCCAAGTACCTAAAAGTTAACTACATAAATTATGTTGAGTAATTATGAAATACACATAGCAAATTAATATACAGTCAAACTCCGTTATCCTGAAACTAGTCGAGCCGAAAATTCGCTGCCCCACAAAGAATACTTTAAAATTGATGAGCATAACACTTCCAGTCAAAATCATAAAAAAAATTAAAATACCTTTAAAGATTAATCTAGAGCACCATATTTTATCAACACTATATTTTTGTATAGTATTAAAACTGTAAATGCATGCCAAGTGGTACTGTAGTGATTTATGGAGGTCACAGATGACACTTGTTGATGATTGCAGTGTTTACAACATACAAATCCCAATGCTTTAAATTTGAATTTAATAATGAACTAGCTCTTTCCATGTGCCACATTTACAAGAAATGGCTTGTATCAATGCAGCTGAAGGACAATGGTTGAGCTCCTCAGTCTCACGTCAGCTGATGTCCAGACATGGACAGCAGAGGTAGCAGCTACTCTGCCCCACAAAAATGCATTCTCACTCACAGGCAAGTACTTACACACACACACACACACACACACACACACACACACACGTACGTGTGCACACAAAAGAAAGTGGGTGAGGTGGGAGCAAGAGGATGGAGTACATTGTAAAGGAAATGGTAAGTGTGGAGGGGGGAGGGTTTCAGTGGGTAGAGGGATGTGCTTTTCACACTGGTCACATTAAATGGCCAGCAGAGAGGAGAGAGTGTTTAAAGCAATGATTGCTGTATGAAGTATGTACAATACACATTTTTAACATTCAGCCTGTAATGTGTGACTTAATTATAGATATAATATGAACATGACATAGCTCTACATGGTGCCAAGCCAAAAATGTCAAAATTATATGAAATTTCTTTCATGCTTTATTTATTTTCTTTATTTCATAGGGGAATGCTAAAGCCATACTGATCATATAGCACCTTGGAGAATGTTAAGCAATCAATCAGATTCTCTGCAAAGAAAGGAAGGACTATCTTTCCCCAAGGTGTTGGGTCTCTTTCATTCACCTATCTATGTATGTATGTATGTATGTATGTATGTATGTGTGTGTGTGTGTGTGTATATTATATATATATATATATATATATATATATATATATATATATATATATATATATATATATATATAATATATATATATATAAATATATCTCCCTCCCTCCTTGCCTGTTTCCCTTATTCTTGTAACAAAACTGAGGAGAAGTAAGCAATTTTCTGTACATAAGGCAAAATTTCGGCTGTGCTGTAACACGCTTGGCTCCAATGATTTTGGGATAATGAGATTTGACTGTATTACATTCATGGGGGAGTGCTAAGCCTGTATGGGTCATACAGCACCAAAGGGAAGGGGAGGGCAGGTCCAGTTCCTTGGATCACCAACAGCAAGGGACCTTCTTTGAGGGGAACAAATTAGTATGAATAGGTTGAGATTGGAAGTAAAATACTTGGTCAGTTTTGTTGGGATTTAAATATTTTTGGCATGTTGATTTTTTAAAGTGAAGAAATGTGTGTATTTGAGCCCTTTCTTAAGTCATTCCATCATTTTTATATTATAGCATTTTTTTATGTTGTCCTTTAATTTAAAGCTTGATGTTAATTGTTAGAAATTCTTCCATTTTCCATGACAATTTTAAATTTTTTAAATGTCAAACAAAATAATGGTGGCAATATGGTTGTTATGTATAGAATTCTCAGTAGTTAAAATTAAATATCTGAACCAAATAATGTACTCTATTACCTTTAAAATATAGAATTTGATAGATATGAAATACATATTATAATTATGCCTTTGGAGTTGTGTTGTAAATAATAAAACATTTATGTATATTTATTTTCGAGAAAGTTTTTATTGTACATCTCATTGTACATAGACCAGCATTAGATGTGCTCTAGCCTAGTTAAGTTGGTAATGAAAATATTTCTTGTGCCCACAAGATAAATGACCTGCAAGTCTTTCCTTTATGATCCAGTTATAATGGGCTATGATGTTGACACTCAGTTTTATACAATTAAGGCAAGTTAGGGCAGTTAATCATTCTCTTTTTATATCATTAGCAACACTTGAGGGAGTGTGGTACTGACACACTTTTAGATATTTATAGTCAAATACTGTGACACAAAAGACTCAGATGAGCCTAGTGCCATTGATGTGCTCTTCCAAGCCCCTTTGGCACTAATGTTCTTGCATAAGAGTTTGGTATTGATACACAATGTGGCATTAAAGCACTCACACTGGGCACGTGACACTGATGCACTTGTAAGTGTGCCAATGATGCGCCCATGTGATGAATGTAGCATTTCTGACACATTCAATTAAGGAAGTATGGCCTTTGGTACATGTCATGCCAGGCATCAAGTTTTTAGTACGTACCAGTTTTGTTACTGTCATTGTGTTTTATGAGGATTTTGACAAGCCTTAAATGAGATATATGATGCCAAATACCAATCAACACTGGTAACATACAAAGCAGCTATTCCTTCAGATTTATATAAAACAAGTATTTGGTTTACTTTCTAAACTTAAGAGACTATATTTAGTCATGGAGTACTGGAGGGAGTCATTGAAAATGATTAATGTAAGTCAATGTTGTGCAGTTCTGCAAGTGATATTTGGTGGTACTAGTTCCAAGTTTACTTTCCTTCCCAACATTTGTAGTAGAGAAAAACCTTACAATGAATTCCAGTATTGCTGTGAATATTCTCTAATCAAAATCTTCTAACTTTTGTCCTAATGCCGCTCATGAAGAACGACAAAACCAACATTGCCTTTTCTTTCTTCTCATTCCAATCAATTCATGTTGACCCTTATCTACATAATCATGACTAATTTATGTTCCTCAATGTATCATTTGCACTAACATGAAAAGCCCATCAAAAGTAATTTAGCAGAAAGATAATCACCATGTTCACTAATTACTGGGCACTAGCAAAAATTTCAGTGACAATATTTTCAAGAAGAGTAATATCAAAAGAATTTAGCAAACAGCAAGTGGTCTATTTCCTTATCAGTATGGGAAAGGATATAAAACAAAGACAACTTTGGTACATATAGTAGATCACCATGGATAGTTCTTAGTGAACTTTCAAGTATTGATTGCTATTCCTCTTGCCATTACCTTGTAAACTGGAAAATTAAACAAATTCCAAGTGCAGGTTCCTGAGACAAACTTGCAATTAATGTTACATACCATGTGTAACTGATTACGTAGCTGATGGATGTGACTTGGCTTGCTTCTCTCCTGTGTCACCTCTGTAGCCATCTCTGTTTTTCTTCTACTTTTTCTGCCTTGCTATATAACTGTACCCCTTACTGATGTTCAGATCTTTTAGTGCTATTCAAACTTCTGTGACTAATGTCTGTACATGTGAAATAAACGTTGATGACATGACTGAACTTTTACTCCTGTTTTAAGACTAATATATATATATATATATATATATATATATATATATAAAAATATATACCAACACATGCAGTAGATATGGTGATTTCTCCAGTTCAAATCGAGTTATCCATTTTTCCTAGCACCATGCATCTATAACTGTATACAATATATTTTTCCTGAAGGCAGTGCCTTTCAATGGTGGGGGAAACATGGTCTTTGTTGATGCCTTAGATCACACTGTCAGGGACTTCCCTCACCAGTGTAACTGCAGCCTGAAAGAGTTTAGCCAAATGTTATCCCTTGGATCAAAAGCCCCTCACAGCATTAAGGTATCTTCCTAAAAGGGCCCCTATACATCAAGATCTGTATACAGTACATGTATTTCCTAATTTTTTTCTCACCTGGAAGATAAGCCTGTTCCTGGAACTACAACCCTTTCATAGACAAACCTCACTGGTGAGTTATGTAGTAATAATAATTCTAGTATCAAATTAAGCATTAAACCAAAAGGGTCATACAGCACTGCAAGGTGGTAGTGTCTGATAAAAAGTTAGAGGGAGTATGAATCAAAGGCCGGACTTTCAGTGAGATCAGGTAGAGTAAGTGCTTCAGGAAGGTGAGGACACGAAGTAAATTCTGTGCCTGCTGGTAGACAGGACAATCTATTGAGATGATGAACTGATAATATAATCTGGCAATCTTCACAGAGTAGTGCTGAGCATTTTCCCACAAGATACAAGTGAGCGAGATGTGTGTCCATTACGTTGGCGAGCGAGTGTAGTTTCCCAAACATGACAATGATGAGATGACCAGAAACCTAAATGTGGTTTGACAGAAAGCAATTTATTGTGGACTAACTCAGACCACATTTGTTACCAGTAGTTCATAGTAGCAGTAAAAGTGACGGTAGAAATAAATATTGCCAACAAGTGTGTTGGCTTCTCAAATTACACGACAGATTTTAGACAAGCAAGGGCAATTGCCTATGAATTGCTTTGTGGTTCTACTGTAATGGTCTCAGCCCCAAGCAGTACATTTCAGTGACACTGCATAAGCAGGAGTCTTCCAGGGAATACATTTCTGAGAATATCTATCTGAGGCTTTGGGCCATTGCATTTGAGGTCACAGCTACAACAGAGGACACAAATATTTGCAACAGTTCATCTAAGGAAGACAGAGAGGATCCTCATAAAAAAAAGCTATGACACAGGTAAAGGCATTTCAGTCACCTAATAACAGGAGTGGAGGAGGTAAAAAGGAAACTAGAAAAACATCAGGAATAAAACATGGTCATGTAAGAGAATGTGCGAGAGTCATTATGTAGAATGAAAGGGGGTAAAGCAGCTGGAATGGATGGTATCAAGACAGAAATGTTAAAAGCAGGGGGAGATATAATGTTGGAGTGGTTGGTATTTTTGTTTAATAAATGTATGAGAGGGGAAGGTACCTAGGGACTGGCAGAGCATGTGGATAATCCTTTTATATAAAGGGAATGGGGGACAAAAGAGATAGTAAAAATTAGAGGGGAATAAGTTTACTGAGTATACCAGGTAAAGTGTATAGTAGGGTTACTATTGAAAGAATTTGAGGTAAGACAGAAAGCAGGATTGCAGATGAGCAAGGAGGCTTTAGAATGGGTAGGGGATGTGTAGATCAGGCATTTACATAGAAGGATATATGTGAACTGTATTTAGATAAAGGTAGGGAAGTTTTCATTGCATTTACAGATTTAGAAAAGGCATATGATAAGAGTGGGTAGGGGAGGAATGTGGCAGATGTTGCAAGCATATGGAATATGCAGTTACTAAATGCTGTAAAGAGTTTTTATGAGGATAGTGAGGCTCAGGTTAGGGTGTCTAGGAGAGAGAGAGAGAGAGAGAGAGATTACTTCCCAGTAAAAGTAGGTCATGGACAGGGATGTGTAATGCATGCCTAGGCCCAAAATGCCTAGGCATGCTAGAGGACTCCTTGTAATTAATATTTTATAATATGTAAATCACACATTGTAAGCTTTGCAAGGATATAAACATTTTCATTTTCATTTATAGATGGGGTTGTAAATGAAGTAAATGCTAGGGCATTGGGGAGAGGGGTGGGGTTAAATTATGGGGAATCAAACAGAAAATGGGAGTTACTTTTTGCTGATGATACTGTGCTTT